ATCTCAGAATACACTAAGCATTACCTTTCCAACAGACGGAACTGCACGCGTCTTCACTGGAGGCCCTTCTTCAGGTTTGCGCCATTATTTGGATTGACTTTTGGTCTCAGGATTGACGTAAGGAATCCACGTTTCGTCAGTGGTTATTATTCGTTGCTAAAATTCCAAAATTCATCACCGTAACGAGCAACACCTATTGAGTATCTGTTCTGGTCCCAACAGCCTTGGCACCCAACGCGCTGAAATCTTGTTAACCCCCAAACAATCCTGCAGGTGTCATGAACTTGTAGTGTATCTATCACTAGGCGCACGCTAATTTGACGAATAGTCATTAGCCTGTCCTCTTTCAGTAGGTCTTCGACGGCAGTAATGTTTCTTTCATTCACCGACGTGCTTGGGTGCCCACTGTGTGGATCATTTTCTAGTGATGTTCTACCGGTTTTAAAACGATCGATCCACCGTTAAACAGTACTTTTGGATTCAGCAGATTCACCAAATACTCCTTGCAGACCCTGAATCATTTCTGATATTTTCACACCTTTACACAAAAGAAAATTATTGCTCGTTGAGATTTTGTTGCGTCTTCCATGGTAACATAAACAGTGCTATGAAAACGCGTTTATATCAGTCGAAAATCTGAATCAGACTGAACAATATTTGCATTAGATAGTTACATAAACATTTTTTGTCTTCAGTCTTGTCTGGCACCAATAACATTGCCTATAAGTTCTGCGTAATTACAGTTCCATGCAGAATTTTGGAAACATCCCTCGTATATATCTTTATGCTCCTAATCAGCACGCAAAACTGCACTATATACTAAAATTTCAACGAAATCATAGGTGTGCATTAATATAATGATATCAAATCTACTGAATCATTTCGTTCCTCAGAAAGGGGACTCTTACAGGATCACTTCGTTGTCCGTTCGTCTATAAAGTATCACTTCTGACAGTACATCGTAGGGATAGATATACAGGGGCAAACGATTAGTATGCTCACATTTGCAGATGATATAGCAGTATTAGAGATAGCTTTAAATAAAATGAAAGCGGTATTGACAAAATAGCATTGAATGAAAATAAATAAAAGTAAAACTAAAATACTGGTATGCAAGGGAAGAAAAGGTGGGAAAAGAGCGAATATAAAGATAGGAGACGAAAAATTAGAAGTGGCTAGTAGGGATATAAAGCAGAGGATAGGGCAGGGTCGTGTCGCCTTTAATAAAAAGAAGTCACTTCTATGTTCCCTAAATTTTCAAACCCGGACTACAAATGAAGCTCCCCGCCGGACGCTCCCCGGATGCCCTTTAAACTAGGACAAATCCGGGGAAACCCGGACAGATGGCAACCTAGCTTTAAATAAAATGGAAGCGGTACTAACAGATCAGTACTGTATGAAAGTAATTTAAAGTAAAACTAAAATACTAGTATGCAAGGGAAGAAAATGTAGGGAAGGAGCGAACATAAAGACAGGAGACGAAAAATTAGAAAAAGTGGCTGATTTTAGATATCTAGGAAGTCAGATAAGTCAGGACGGAAGGAGTAGTAGGGATATAAAGCAAAGAATGGTGTATGGTTGTGGCGCCTTTAATAAAAAGAAGTCACTTCTATGCTCACGAACGGTTAATTTAGAAATTCGAAAAAGTTTGTTAAAGGTGTATGTTTGGAACGCGGCGATGTACGGGTGCGAAACATGGAAAGTGGGCACCGCGGAAAATAAAAGGTTAGAAGCCTTCGAAATGTGGTGTTATAGGCGAATGATGAGGATAACGTGGGTAGGTATTACATTTTAGCATAAATGTTAGGTATATTTTTAATTATCTTTATTCATATTCTTAGATATATGTTTTTTTGTTCTGTTAGTAATCGTTATCTTGTACGCTCAAGATATTTCTTGAAAATCTGGTTTTTTAGAAAGTTACTTGCTTTGACGTGATGCACGAGAATTTCGAAGAACCGACCCATAGCAGGTACTGTAGGGGTAGCTTTCTAAAAAGTCCAAAATAGTAATAGTCGTTTCGAATAGTTGCCTTGTTAATACAAACTTTTTCCTTCGCTTATAAATTTCATGTCTACAATAGTTTTTATCATTAATATATTGGTTATTCGAAATAAACTCTGCTGGTTATTTATTTGAAATCCACCCCTTCAGATAAATATTTAACAGTAGGAAAGGTTAGAAATGAAGAGGTAATAGAAAGAATAGGAGAACAGAGAACTCTATGGTAGTCAATAAAAAATNCAAGATATTTCTTGAAAATCTGGTTTTTTAGAAAGTTACTTGCTTTGACGTGATGCACGAGAATTTCGAAGAACCGACCCATAGCAGGTACTGTACTGTAGGGGTAGCTTTCTAAAAAGTCCAAAATAGTAATAGTCGTTTCGAATAGTTGCCTTGTTAATACAAACTTTTTCCTTCGCTTATAAATTTCATGTCTACAATAGTTTTTATCATTAATATATTGGTTATTCGAAATAAACTCTGCTGGTTATTTATTTGAAATCCACCCCTTCAGATAAATATTTAACAGTAGGAAAGGTTAGAAATGAAGAGGTAATAGAAAGAATAGGAGAACAGAGAACTCTATGGTAGTTAATAAAAAATAGGCGAGATAGGTTGGTAGGACTCCTTCTCAGACATGAAGGTCTAGTCAGAGACATTGTATTAGAGGCATAAAAACAGGAGTTAGGAGGGGTAGAGGTAGACCTAGGTTAGATTACTGTCCGCAAATAGTTATGGATGTGGGATGTTCTAGTTTTATAGAAATGCGAAGTTTAGCTCAGGATAGGAAAAGAGTAGAGGTACGTGTCCAACCAGTCATAGGACTGACGACCTTATGATGATAACTCATTATCATGCAGGTTAGATTATAAGAGTCGGAATTGTCACTAGGATTACAAAGAAATTGTTTTAATAATTTTGCATAGCACACAGCAGTACAAAAATATCAACTAGGATATTGTAAAACTCCAAAATTCCACAATACATTTAGAAACCTAGAACGTGTTTCGACAGCCAAGGATTCAACTCTAGTTTTAAGGTTTTTAGTATACATTCAGCATATGCCTAAACAGAATAACAAATTTATCATTTATTAATCGCTAGATTTATATGTTTCAAAAATCTGTGATTCACTACCTTTTTTTTTTGTAGGTATTTAATATATAAATCAAAGAATTCGTAAATGCATTTATCAAAAGTTATGTGAAAACGTTGGAGTTTTACTGCCATTAGCCACCCTTCAAAAATTCAAAAGAAATTAATTTTGAACATAACGCTAATATATATTCTTTTCAGAGTTATAAAAGTATGGTTCGATTCGGTCTGTATCGATTTTGTTACTGTGAATATATTAATCATAAACACATCCTAATTTTTAAATCTGAAAAAGGGCAAACTGGTACTGGCTTGTTGTAAAACGAAGTTCAGGACTAAAATTTTAATAGATACAAAATAGTATTTAAATAAATTGACAGTTTTATTATCCACCGTTGTCACAAAATAGGGCATTATTTGTTAAAGCAGTTATGTTAGACAATAATAATTATACAACCATAAATACAGACTTCCTTATATGTGGCCCAAAACTATACCCCCCCTAAAAACAGCACTGCTTACTATTCAAAATCTGAACAGAACACAGTTAATAGATGATTATAGTTGGAACGATCAAAATTGGCATAATCGGTAATAAATTACCTGTGAGAATGAACGTATCTTCTTTCTTTTTTCCACTTGGAACTGCAGTCATTTGCTACGTTTTGAACACGCCCTTGTTAAGTTAGGAAATGCTCCATGAGTAGTGCAGACAACATAAAAAGAGATAACCGAATAACAGTAAGCGATGCAGCTATTAGGTTGTTTACGTATGCAAAAGATCAAGGTCTACTTAATAACTGCCTGGTTAGAATTATACCTTTAAACAAACGTCTTCGCATTTCTAAATTCCTGAAAATGTTGAACTTTCTTTAATGTCCGATACTGGCAACATTATCAAATTCTCCTTGTCTGCATTTCTTTCTGTTACACATCAATTGGCGTAATGTTATTCCTCGTTTTTTATTAGTGTCCGCTGCAATTCCTACCTAACATCTCTTTTCTATGTTTACGATATTCCCTACAAAGTCTGTCGTGTATAAAAATAGGTGTGACAGTTTCATTACGGATTATGCCAATTTTGAACGTCTCAACTATAGTCAGTTTCATTTATTAATTATAAACTTTAACCTATTGAAATGTGTTCCTTTTTTTGAGCGTAATACATATTTATAAAAATAAAATAGGATAAAGGGGTAAATTTGCTTTACTCCTGGGGAAGAAGTTCGAAGGTGCAAAATAAGCAACTATAACTTTTCGAAAAACTTAACGTATAGCGATTAATTTGATACCGAAACCTACTATAATTTCCATTTAAAAAAGTTTTGGTTATACAATATAAAAAAATGAGATCCGGGAAAAATTCTGTAAAATAAGTGTTTGAAGTGAAACTTCTATATAGACGACGAGGTCTTACGATTTGTTCTGTCACGAAAAAGCGTTACGGCCGCGTGAAGGGGGTAGACGGTATATCGCGTGATGAGAGACGCAATCGGCGGAAAGAGAGTAGGCTGGCGGCGCCGGCGGAGAGAGCGCAATAGCTGTGTTAGATGAATATAATGCGCAGCCGCGCGGATAGCGGGGAGTCCCCTAGAGTCCGGCGGCGGGTGCTGTGCTCAGCTGTTGTTTTCTTACCTCTGCTCTCCACGTGGATGGACATCATTACCTTTATTTGCAGTCTGTGTAAAAATCAAACAATAATTTGCAGTAAACTTGTTAAAACGAAATATGTGCTGGGACACATAGTAGAAGTGAAACTTCAACGGACAAGTAGAAAAACCAATGGCAACGGACAAATGGAAAAACGAATCTCAACAAAATTTTTAATTAAAAGTTTTACGGCCAGGTTTTTAAGTTGGACAAGTACACTAACAATCTGCCCGTAAAACTTGAAGTAAAAATTTTGTTTCGATTCGCTTTTCCACTTGTCCGTTGAAGTTTCGCTTCTACTATGTGTCCCAGCACACATTTCGTTTTTGCTATGTTTGTCGTTTTTAGGATTCTGCACTGATACCTACTCAATTTTTGTTTATAGATTTGATAACAATGTAGGAAATATATCAGCACATTCAACAGAAGGTGCAGAAAACAAAGAATCGACTACATCAGAAAAATTACCTAACGATCCAATAAACGATAACAAACCATCATCGGAAGAAACTTCAACTGCGAAAGAAAATTCGTCGCCGAAATTCGACAGCGATAAAGAAAAACAATGTTGGGAACTGTACACGAAAGTCAATCAAAAGGGAGTTAGCGTAACTTTCGATACCATCTTACGAGGAATGTTAACGCCCACCGAATATAGGCTACGAAGGAGGCACTCCCTTGCAGAAGTCGAAACTCCTAATAGCAAGAATTATCGTTGATTTCAACTACTGATAGCAAAACTATTAATGCCGAAATGCACCAGCTACTTCTTGTAATAAATGCGATAGAAATCAGTAGGAATAAAATTCTTTAGCCTAGAAAAAAAATTAACTACACTAGGAAAAAATTAGCGAATAACTAATTGGTAAACCGTATTCAATAAGTTAAAATACATATTTATGATTAAAAAATGTTTGTAGTTCGAAATAAATTAATATTAAAAATTTTAAATAATTCAAACTTTCGACAATACCTAAAGAGAGCAATATTGTAGGTGCATTGCTTGCATTATTAAATCTACATTGCGTGCGATACAGCAATATGAAATATTCGCTAGCCTTATGTATTTACAAAAATGTGTCAATGATGTGTTATTTATAAAATTTTAATCAAATTTCTTTACTGTTGTTGGTAAAATTATGGTAATGATTAGTTTATCTCTAAGTTAAGTACTAATGATTAATTCTTAAACGAAATATTATTTAATTTTATAACAAGTAGAGTGAGCAGTGAGGCCAGAGCAACACCTGTCTCTCATCAACCAATCACATTTTAAAGGTTTACTTTTAAATAAATTTGAGGATCCCAGATCAGAACAGATTCTTTTCAATTCGCTAACATCTGTTATCGTTTAAATTCGCTAAAAGAGCATATTCAAGTAAATGTCATCATAAGGTCGTTAGTCCTAAGACTAGTTGGACACACACCTCCACTCTTTCCTATCCAGAGCTAATTTTCGCATTTCCCTGAAATTAAAACAACCCACATTCTTAACTATTTGCAAACAGTAATCTAATCTACGTCTACCTCCACCCCTCCTAACTCCCGTTTCTGCCTCTAATACGTCTCTGACTAGACCTTCATGCCTGACAAGGTGTCCTAGCAACCTATCTCGCCTATTTCTTATTTACTTCCATAGAGTTCTTTGTTCTCCTATTTTTTATAATACCTCTTCATTTCTAACCTTTTCTATCCACGATATTCTCATCATTCGCCGGTAACACGTTTCTAACCTTTTCTTTTCCGCCGCGCCAACCGTCCATGTTTCGCACCAGTACAGCGCCGCGCTCCAAACATACACCTTTAACATTCTTTTTCCAATTTCTAAATTAACCGACTTCTTTTTATTGAAGGCGACTCGACCCTGCGCTATCCTCTGCTTTATATCCCTACTGCTCCTTCCGTCCTGATTTATCTGACTTAGACCTATATACTTAAAATCAGCCACTGTTCCAATTTTTCGTCTCCTGTCTTTATATTCGCTCTTTTCGTACGGTTTCTTCCCTTGCATAGGTACCCGTATTTTTGTTTTACATTTATTTATTTGGTAAAGGTCTAGATCGGGTCTGTCCAACTGGCGGCCCGCGGGCCGTATACGGCCCGCCAAATTATTTTTACGGCCCGCGANGACAAGTAGAAAAACCAATGGCAACGGACAAATGGAAAAACGAATCTCAACAAAATTTTTAATTAAAAGTTTTACGGCCAGGTTTTTAAGTTGGACAAGTACACTAACAATCTGCCCGTAAAACTTGAAGTAAAAATTTTGTTTCGATTCGCTTTTCCACTTGTCCGTTGAAGTTTCGCTTCTACTATGTGTCCCAGCACACATTTCGTTTTTGCTATGTTTGTCGTTTTTAGGATTCTGCACTGATACCTACTCAATTTTTGTTTATAGATTTGATAACAATGTAGGAAATATATCAGCACATTCAACAGAAGGTGCAGAAAACAAAGAATCGACTACATCAGAAAAATTACCTAACGATCCAATAAACGATAACAAACCATCATCGGAAGAAACTTCAACTGCGAAAGAAAATTCGTCGCCGAAATTCGACAGCGATAAAGAAAAACAATGTTGGGAACTGTACACGAAAGTCAATCAAAAGGGAGTTAGCGTAACTTTCGATACCATCTTACGAGGAATGTTAACGCCCACCGAATATAGGCTACGAAGGAGGCACTCCCTTGCAGAAGTCGAAACTCCTAATAGCAAGAATTATCGTTGATTTCAACTACTGATAGCAAAACTATTAATGCCGAAATGCACCAGCTACTTCTTGTAATAAATGCGATAGAAATCAGTAGGAATAAAATTCTTTAGCCTAGAAAAAAAATTAACTACACTAGGAAAAAATTAGCGAATAACTAATTGGTAAACCGTATTCAATAAGTTAAAATACATATTTATGATTAAAAAATGTTTGTAGTTCGAAATAAATTAATATTAAAAATTTTAAATAATTCAAACTTTCGACAATACCTAAAGAGAGCAATATTGTAGGTGCATTGCTTGCATTATTAAATCTACATTGCGTGCGATACAGCAATATGAAATATTCGCTAGCCTTATGTATTTACAAAAATGTGTCAATGATGTGTTATTTATAAAATTTTAATCAAATTTCTTTACTGTTGTTGGTAAAATTATGGTAATGATTAGTTTATCTCTAAGTTAAGTACTAATGATTAATTCTTAAACGAAATATTATTTAATTTTATAACAAGTAGAGTGAGCAGTGAGGCCAGAGCAACACCTGTCTCTCATCAACCAATCACATTTTAAAGGTTTACTTTTAAATAAATTTGAGGATCCCAGATCAGAACAGATTCTTTTCAATTCGCTAACATCTGTTATCGTTTAAATTCGCTAAAAGAGCATATTCAAGTAAATGTCATCATAAGGTCGTTAGTCCTAAGACTAGTTGGACACACACCTCCACTCTTTCCTATCCAGAGCTAATTTTCGCATTTCCCTGAAATTAAAACAACCCACATTCTTAACTATTTGCAAACAGTAATCTAATCTACGTCTACCTCCACCCCTCCTAACTCCCGTTTCTGCCTCTAATACGTCTCTGACTAGACCTTCATGCCTGACAAGGTGTCCTAGCAACCTATCTCGCCTATTTCTTATTTACTTCCATAGAGTTCTTTGTTCTCCTATTTTTTATAATACCTCTTCATTTCTAACCTTTTCTATCCACGATATTCTCATCATTCGCCGGTAACACGTTTCTAACCTTTTCTTTTCCGCCGCGCCAACCGTCCATGTTTCGCACCAGTACAGCGCCGCGCTCCAAACATACACCTTTAACATTCTTTTTCCAATTTCTAAATTAACCGACTTCTTTTTATTGAAGGCGACTCGACCCTGCGCTATCCTCTGCTTTATATCCCTACTGCTCCTTCCGTCCTGATTTATCTGACTTAGACCTATATACTTAAAATCAGCCACTGTTCCAATTTTTCGTCTCCTGTCTTTATATTCGCTCTTTTCGTACGGTTTCTTCCCTTGCATAGGTACCCGTATTTTTGTTTTACATTTATTTATTTGGTAAAGGTCTAGATCGGGTCTGTCCAACTGGCGGCCCGCGGGCCGTATACGGCCCGCCAAATTATTTTTACGGCCCGCGAGTACATTTTACTATGAATAAA